ATTTCATTTAAGCCTGTCTGCACTGAACTGACCTCCGGGTCCTGCTGCTAATGAGCTGAGTGTCCCTTAAATTCATCCTCAAAGTGCTAAAAATGCTCTCAGTTTGTGCGCTCTGAACTGTTTTAGGCCCAAAATTCTTATGCAATTACAATTAAAAGTAAATGATTAGAGAAAGCTGGAGCTGCCTGAAGCCAAAGTAATTTCATAAAACAATCATGAGTGGCATTATATGCCACGGAGCAATCTGTGGCAAAGTAAGAAGAATGTCAAAATAAAATTGGGTTTCTAGAGTTAATTGTTGAAGAATATTAAATATAAACGGAGACGTGAATTCCCTGAGGCCCACAAATTTTTCTAGCCCAATGGGGTAGGCATTGTACAAAGGACAATGCAGGATAATAAAATGTGTCTCCATCTTTGAAGAGCTTAGGATTGGTGGCGGGGACCCACGTGTCACTTACCATGCTGGAATGAGATGGAAATAACTCAGGAGGCCTGGCTGGCTCCATCCAACCCTTCACTTTCACCATGAAACTCATTTCCAGATGTGGCTCTTGGTTAGCTTCTCAATCAAAGAAGTTCTTGGGCTTTAGAATGTTCTGTCCAATTGTGAGAGCATTTTAATATGTACCTGGCACTTTGGGCCAGATAACTTATGCTACTCAAGTGATTTGTTATAAGCCCTGTTTATTTTTGTCATCTAGGGGTGGTCTTCTGGCTTATGAGTAGTTGAGTTTCATCCAGGGGCACAGAACATTCATATGACTGACCTCCAATCTATGGTTCACATCTGTCATCCTAGCTACTCAGGAGGCTGAGATCTGAGGATCATGGGTTGAAAGCCAATCAGGGCAAATAGAACTGATCCTCTTATTGCCAACAAACCAGCGAAAAACCAGAAGTGGAGATATGACTCAAGTAGAGCACCAGCCTAGAGTGAAGAAGCCAAACAAGAGCAGGAGGCCTTGAATGCAAGCCCCACTAACAGCACTAAATAAACACTAAACAAACAAACAAACAAATAAATAAATGCAGGCACCAAGGCTTGAATGAGGTCCCTCGATTGGCCACACTTTGCTTGTGCTCTCATATTCTATTGCTGGAGAATTATGTGTATCCTGGTGTCAGTTCTCTTGGCATTAATTTCTACTGGACTTTCTCCTGTGTGTTCCTTGTCTTTCCTGATATGAATTCCACTCTTTGCTGTGGGGAATTATAATTGTGGGTACTTGATTTCCGTGTCCTGTTACTTCTTGCCTTATGGAGCCTGAGGTGGGTCTTGTTCACCCCACAGCCATCCTACATGAGAAAAATAAATAATGAGGATCTCTATCCATAAACAATTTTCATGGCATCATCTCAACTGGAAGTTGTATTATGCGTTCCCATGTATTCTCCGATTTTGCATCTCTTTTCACTGAAAGAATTTCTGCTTAATCAATGCATTTGTGACCCTATGCTATACATAGAAACCTTCCTTTTTTGTTGTTGTTGGTCGTGGGGCTTGAATTCTGGGCCTGAGTGCTGTCCCTCAGCTCTTCAGCTCAAGGCTTGTGCTCTACCACTTGAGCCACAGTGCCACTTCTGGTTTTCTGGTGGTTTATTGGAGATAAGAGTTTCACGGACTTTCTTTCTTTCTTTTCTTTTTTTATTGTGAGAATACCATACAGAGGAGTTACAATTACATGGGCAAGATAACGAGTACATTTCTTAACAAGCATTGTTGCCTCCTCTTTGTTTCCCCTTTCCATCCCTTCCCATACTTCCCCCACCGGGCTGGCTTTGAACTGCAATCCTCAGATCTCAGCCTCCTGAGTAGCTAGCTAGGATTACAGGCATGAGCCACTGGTGCCCAGCCTAGAAACCTTTTTAAAGAGTGTCTTTAGTTAAAGTTCTAAGCCTCCGGGCTAGGGCTTCCCACAGCTCATGCCATTACAATTGCACCAAACTCTTAGCTGAATCTCAGCCTGTGTTTCAGAGTTTTGCTCATAATTTAAAATTTCCCCATTCCTACTTGTTTAAAGGATCTCCTTGCACCCTCAAAGTGGAGGTCCTTTTCCTTGGAAGTGGCCCCAAATATCAGCAGGAAGTAATGAATACTATATATTTCTCCCTCCCTCTCCAGTCCACTGGAATTGTATTATAATAGGTATGATATTGTTTTGTTTGTTTTTTCTTGTGTCTGTTCCCCGGCAGTCTGTGAATTCCTGGGTGTGATTCACATCTTTGTGTCTACTATCTAGCATGATACTTGACACTGTGCCTGGACCACGAAAGCATTTATTTATTAAATGTGACCACATGTATCTTTCTGATGAAGACATGGGACCATGCGAATGTCAAGATACTGTTTTCATTCGATGAGTCTTGACGTTATCAGTGTAAACTTTACCTGAGTCTCGTGATATGGGGAAACAACCAGGGGTATAGAAATCCTCCCAAATATTTTTAGGTTCTAAACAGCTGCGAGAGATTATCTTTCTCCCTTGTCTTCCCCCATTTGCTTCTGACAAGGCTAGACACTGTTCCTCTAAATTCCCATTCTTTGCTTCAGTGGTGACTCCGTGATTCATCCTGTCTACCCCATCTCCTCACACTTCATATTTCCTAGCATTTTACCTTCTCTTTTTTGAAATAAAACTTCCTTTGGCTCAATTACTACAGTATCAACTGATTTCATGGTTCAGCGCCACTGAAATAGTGCTCTTCCAATTCCTATAAACTTTTCAAATGAAACGTCTTCTTGCTACTATCCAGAATGTTCTTAATTTGATAATAACTTTGATTGACTAGAAAAGCATTTATCTCATGGGAACAGTCATGCCTTCTTTTAGAGAACGAACGCTAACCCTCAGGGATTGTAAATGTTTTATTGACATACAGCCTAGTCATTAGTTTCAAAGATCAATTGTGCATGTGCCTCTAATCTTGACAAGTTTACCTCTAGTGTGCTCAAGTCTAGGGTCAGTTCTGTAGATGCCTTGTGGGTCTTATGTCTCTTTTCTCTTGTCTTCCAGATGTACTATAAAGGCCACACCCCTACGGACCTTGAACGGTGGATGACTCCTTTTCTGGCTCCTACTGAGACTCCCTGCATCAAAGACTACATTTTCTTCCTATTTTTCTGTCACCCCTAATAGAGAGTCAGGTCATGTACCCTCAGTGCGTTCATCACCATGATAACCCTCAGCTTTGGGGCATCATGCCCCAGTGGGCATTCGGAGCCATTACGAGATATTTTCTGCTGTTAGGATTGGTAGAAGCATATCCTGATGGCAGGCCAGGAGCCTGCCATGCATCTCTTCTCATACAAGACATCTGGCCCTACACGTGAACAGTGTCACTCTGAGAAGCAGTGAGACACGTGGTGATTACTAACTTAACAGATTCTTACTCAAAAATTGAAGGCAAACACAACAAAACCTAGCTGAGGGGTACCTCTAATGTCTACCTAATCACACTATAAAATATTTAAAGAGGAAAGAAAACAACAACACTTGGGCAACAGAAATGTATTGATTGATTTGCAACATCAGGTACAATGTAACTTCACCACATGTTCACAACCCAGTATTTGTGCTTTGTAGGATAATAAACATTTACTTGAGCACAACAAAAGTCTACACAGAATATTTGGGATTGTTTCGAAAATAAATGTCGTTTTTCCATCAGTGGCACAGAGAAGTACATTTCCACTGGCGTTGATGAATAGATTTTAAAACCTGGCCAATGTGTGAATTGAAACATACAATCTACATTTGGGCTATTTGTATACAAGCACCCACTCAGCACTGGGAAAGACTCCTGGCGTGGGTGGGTGGGGAGAAAACTATGGCTCACAGGGAAGTTTTCTTGGAATTTCAAGATGTGGATGCTAAATAGATCTGCTTAGGCCAGCACGGATGGTATGAGGGCCTTGTTCCCACTTAATATTACTTTGCAAATCCTCAAAAGCAGAGTAAAAGTAAAACATGTTGGAAGGCCTTTAATGAATACCTTATAGGGCAAGAAAATAATAGTGTAGCTCATTTAGATGGAAGGAAAGAAGTCATCAATGACGTTAGATATCTATTTTTCAAAAGTGGACATCTGGTATTAAAATAGTTAAAATATGTGATAAAAGTCTTCTTTGTCCCCAAATCAATGACACCATTGTTGAGACAGAAGGACTGCAGCCCTACCCAGCCAGGCCCGACACACAGACACTAGTCCTCCACTATCACTGTTCATGTCCTTAGCATAGCACGTCAGCTATTCACAACAACCACACATTTACAATACAATAAACCCCCAAGCTCAGTGTCAGGAGCCAACTTGAGACAACAATCGCTTCGTGGTTTGTGAACCTCTAAGTTATTCTGCAACTGAATATATTAAGATAATAATCTCTCCATCATTTATAATAAAATAAAATGAAAGCTTATATTTCATATAATTCAATATATAAGTAGATTTTATCCCCCAAAGCTAAGACCTCTCCCCCCTCTCCCAGTTAAGAAAGCTTTTCCCTTAAGGTAAGGATTCTCTAATAATTTCACTCATCATGTTGTAATGAAAACAAAGACTTTCCATCTTCCTTTCCTCTAGTCTTAAGCCATTCATTCTCTGGTAATCAAGGAGCCCAGAGATGGTTTGAGACGAAGGGGAAGATTTATTAATGGGTTTCAGTGAATAAACTGAACATCCCAATAAAGGAAACTAATATTCAGTTGTAAGCCTGTAAATATTCACTGATATGGACCAGAAAGTGGAAAGCTTTGTATGAAGTTCTAGAAGTTTCTCACCAATATCTTAAATGTTTCTCTGGCCTGAAAGCCCCCTTTATCTGCTCAGAAAGGAACAAGGACAATTACCACAGAGTTTATAAAGTTACTTTGACCAATGGGTTTGTTTTCAATCGATTGACATCACTGGAGACATGACATGTCTTTTGATATGTATGTGAGTCCAGTCTTTCTGGAGTTTGTGGAATGCAATATTTTCCTTTGTAGCCATTCGAATACAAGCTCTTGGGACCTACTCAAGGGTTTTATTGATGTGTACAGATCTGTAGTTTGATCAAACCCTCAGATTTGCTCAGTGTGCATGGAATTGGCATATAGGTCTTTTCTTATAAGTATGGTTAATGTGACGCGATGTTTTGAGAAAGTTGGGCACATTTCGAGCACACCACGGTAATCTAAGCTGGGCTAAAGAAAGGAAATAGTCCACAAGGCAGCTCTGTTTTATCCCAGTTCCAGCAGCCAATCAAACAAACTTGGGACTCCTTCCTTCTGCTCCTCATGCATCTTGCAGTACTGGACCACTGCATGGAAGATATCTCCCACCTTCCAGGACTTCTGGTGAACCAGTCTGACAACATCTAGAAACTTAAGGATGACAGAAAGAAAAAGAGAGGGGGAGAGTTAGAACTCACTCGGCACAGAGTCCTCAATACATCCGATTTAGCACCCTTCCAGAGCCAGTGGTTTTCTGGCCTATGTCTGAGTATCCTTCATCTTGGAAGATGATTTTCCACAGTAGTCTGTTGTCTCTTTAGGAAAGTTCCTTCAAATGAATTAGAATTTTCTACTTGGCAATTCCATTAACAGCAGGAGAACTACATGGAATGAGGTTAATTCTTCTTTTTCTTTTTTAAAGTCAATCTTTTAGGTAGTTAATGTTCCCTTAAGTCTGTTTTGCTTTATTTATTACGTATAAATTAGGGATTCCCTATGAAATTGACCTAGTTTCATTGTGATTTTGGATTCAGTAATTATTCTCCTCATGGCGATGGCACAACTATTTATAATATTAAAAAAAAACCCACCTTTTTCAAACTCTCTTATCCCTCAATCAGTGCTTTATGACACTTGCATGCTTTGAATTTGTATAGACAAACTGAAGCCATTTTCTAGACTGGAAAATAAAATTATTTTGCTTTCCAGAAAGGATTGTATGAACTTTTTGCTCAGGCTGTCTCAAGCTGGGATGCTCCAATCTTCACCTTTTAAGTAGCTGGGATTACAGGAGTGTGACACCACACCGAGTTTCTGAAATACTTAAGTTTTAACACATGGAAACACAAATCCTGTCTGAAAGAGTTTTAGGATGTTATTGACATGAAGAAAGATGAAAGATGGATGGTCCTTCTACTATAAGCATAAGTCTACCAGGGGATGGATGGAATCTTAGATATCTTTTTGTATCTCATACCTAAAGGGGGGAAGTCTTCAAAGAATATTTGTTGAATGATGGAAGGGATGGACACCTAAATATGAATCAAACATGTTCAAAGTTCTCAAGATTGTTGGAAATCTAGTGTCCATGAGTAAAAACCTCCATGAAATATTTACTCTTCATCTGTAGGTACTGAATTTATAGATGTAGAATTTAAAAGTCAACTTATAAACCTATGAGATTCAATAACTTTCTGCTGATAAAACCCTCCAGGAAAATGTTTTGAGGTCCTAGATCTAATAAAAAGCTGAGCAGAGGAAATTATTGAAATCTGTATTTTATCAGACCCTGCAGGGAAGGAGGGCAGTAGAATATTAGTGAATGGGTAATTTTAGAATAGAATTTTTTTTTAAAAAGAGACATTGGTATGGTTCTCTTTCTCTACATTTGCATAATAAGTTATTTTGAAATAAAACCCAATATTCTTGTCTCTCCATGACCCAAACAAATAGCTGAGCAGAGCTGATGGATACTGTACAGGGAACACAATGGGAACTAGACATGGAGCTCCATTCCTAATGCATGGTGACTGAGAATGGGCATGCATAGCACAGAGGTTAGATAAACAAGATCTTGTCCCAATGCTCACTGCAACAAAAACTGGAAAGGAATCCATTTGGCTCTATCAACCTGCATTAGAATTTCAGACAAACCACCTGTTTCCCAGGACCCTGCATCATCTTCCTTAGTTTCCTACCTGTATGATTTTTATTAACCCATCTCTCAGATCCTGCTCGAAATCCAGGGAGGGAAGAGAGGTCACTGGTGCAGCTGGCCTGACCTTGTGCCTGAGGTCTCTCGGAGAGGAACTTGTGGATCATTGATTTTTTTTCTCAGTAGGACGGGTCCCCCGTGACCTTTGGTCACAAGTCATCACTTGAGAACGTGTCCTCTCCCACGTGTCCTATGACAGTGAAGCTGATGCAGAGAGCTACTGTAAACTCTGGCTCACTGGACCTCTACATCCCATTGCTTACCACCGAGCCATTGCCGAGGGGAGGAAGAACCAAGGCTCTGGTGCATTATGCCAATATTTGCTGCTTCGTGTTTCCCAGAAGGCTCCTTGCCTTCTAGAAGTCAAACTGTAGCTCGTTTGCCATGTATTTGGGGCTTGTGAAGGAGAACTCTAAGTGGTGATGATGACAGACACTAATGACACATCCAACAGGAGGGAAGCAGCCCCACAGCAAGGCCACTCTGTCAGGAGTTTGTGGAATGGCCACGGCCTAGAATGTCTCATGACTTCTAAGTCTAGACTGACATCCCAGTGGAGCCGCTTTGAAAACTACCAGGCACCACTAAATATAGCATGCTCTGAATCTGAGATGCCTTAAACTCAGACACTAAGACCTTGAAATGTCTACAGAGCTGACATGTCTCATGCTCTCTTCATTAAAAAAAAATCAGGTAAGAATGAAATAAGGTTGGGAAGAAGTCAGAAAAGGGCATTTCCAACTCATGAGTACAACCTTATGATAAACACATTCAGATCAGCAGCTGCTCGCAGAGCGCTCCATGTCTGTCCCTGCCCGTGTGTCGGTATTTTGTAATCAGGTTTACCAGGCTTTGCTTTCTTTCCACTGTCTTAAAGAGTAAAAATGAAAGTCCCCTCACTTGCCACTTCACACTCAATAATAATTAGATTCCTTTTTCTGTAGACAACAGTTGGTATTTCTTAGGCAAATATTAAGAATCTGTCATCTTGTGATAGAACAGCCAACAGTCATATCATCAGTATCTTCTCTCATTTTTCTTCCATGGCTTTGCCAGTTGAATGGAAGAAATTAGAGGCTATCCCTCTTCTGACCTTCATTTCCTGAGGAAGGTAAGTATAGAGGTCTTCCTGTTCTCTGCACCTTCCTTTCTGTATACTGTCTCTGCGAAAAGGAAATAATTCTCATTGCCAGGTTAAAGATCATCAAGGCACCAGATTAGCTAGGATGTCAGTTATCTGATAACCTCACTGAATTTACATAGAAGAAAAGGATGGGGAGAGGAAAGACCACGTGGTCCAAAATCCAGGACAATGCGCTGCTGGGTTTTCTTTTCCTGCTTTCTTCTTCTTTCTAAATCGAATATGCTTATGGCTTTTTTTTGGTCCTGAATTAATTTAATTAAATTTAATTAGCGTTAAGGTTGCTACAAATGAAATTTATAAATGGTCTTACATTGTCAAGTGATAGAATTTCCATGAAATAAGACTTAGGCTGGGAATCTGAATTGTGGATAAATATTACAAGGAATTCTATTTTGTACCCAAGTGACTTGTAGGCATGATTTGAAAAAACAGAAACAGAATAAACTCCCCCCTCCAGTCCCAAAGATGGTATTTAAAAACTGTGTATCTCTTGGTTTTATGGTCTTCCTATCTTCAGTTCTCTATGAATTAGAATATAAACTCCAACAGCATAGGAAAGTTTTATCTCTTTTTTAAATGTGTTTTCAGAGCTTAGAAAAAGTGACCAGTACATTCAACTCTATGAACATTTTTATTTGTTTTCCTTTGTAAGTTATATTTAGGTAGTTGTACAAAGAGGTTTCAATTCAGCATGTACGATTATGAGTACATGGTCATATTATGGTCATATTCACAATTTACCTTTGATGAATGGCTTGAATAGTTGACTTTCAAAGGCACTTATTCTTTTAATAACTAGGTAATATGCAAACCCTCCCCCTTGGCAAAACTATGAAAGGAAAAATTTTAAACTGAAGGAATCTGTATGACTATAGGATATTTGGGCACCCAGAATATTTGTGATTTGCCTTTGGGTTGAACTAAGGCTGGAATTCACTCTAAGATGTCTTAAATGTCTTCCAACTCCAAGGTCACATTTATATGCAGTAATGGGAAAGATGACTGCTTTAGTATTCATTCATCCCATCCTCTTTCCTTTTAACATATATTTTCCTGGTTTTTCCATAAGATAGGAAGGTTAGAAACTGAGAACACACTAGAGAGGGAAGCATGTTAATTTCAATGAATATCCAAAAAACAAAACAAAACGAGATCAGGCTTCACACAAATAAGGACTTAAAATGTCCATCTGTGGAGGTGGTTCAATAACTTCAGAGACAATGGGACATGACTTAGTGTGTATTTAGGGTTTCACCAAACCTTCTCTAAGCAGATAGGGAGCTAATGAGATGCTGCTGCTGTTACATAACCTATCCTTTCTCTCTCTTTCACCTCTCTTGAAGATGGTTGCTTAATCATCTAATTAAAAACTGAACAGAATCAGGCCTCAAAAATCACTGTTGATGAAATAATGTCAAATGTCACTCAAGAGTTTTCTTTAATAAACAAACTCAGCCACATAAAATGAAATGAGGTACTCATTTCTAAGAGAGCCCTAATTGACTTAAAATAGAGAGTTTTAGCTGGGCACCAGTGGCTCAGGCCAGTAATCTTAGTGACTCAGAAGGCTGAAGTCGGAGGATCATGGTTGGATGCCAGCTCAGGCAGGAAAGTCCATGAGACTCTTTTCTCAATAATCACCAGAAAACTAGAGGTGGCACTGTGGCTTGAGCACAAGGCACAGCACCTAGGCCCTGGGTTTGAGCCTCATGAGTGACAAAAGAAAAACAAAAGCAGTTTTAGTAGCTAAAACTGAATTATTTTGAATTGAATGAAAGATCACTTAGTGTTTTTCTTGATAATGATAATGACATTTATTCTCTGAGAAACATAGTTATAAGAAATGAAAGCAATGCCCTTTAGAACTGAAAACCAGGTAGAGATAAACAAATGTCTTGCCAGGGTATGATTTGCATAATCTTGGCATTAGCAAAGGATTCCTTTACATTTATACCCACTGGACTGGATCTTTCCTAGATGTATAGGACCATGAAATGATGGTTTGTTCAAAAAGGTACATTGATATAAATCTGTTCCATAAGTAAGTATGCCAATTAAAATGCATTGCATCATCCTTATATTCATGGAAAGACTAGATTTGGAAATTAATTGAATTTTCATTTTTCTATTGACTCAAAACATTCTCCTGAGCATGCTCCTGTTCTTCTCCCTATGGCTTAGAGTACAGTACAAGGAAAGATCAAATGTGATTATGTTCTTCCATTCTTCCATTCACCCAAGGATTCTGGGTGGCAGATTGGAGGTAGATATCGACCCACACAGCAGCTTCTATACAAATTCAGGACAAATGAGACAGATACCTAAATTTCACTGGGAAGAATAGTGGATAGATCTGGGCCAGAAAAGAAGTACAAACCATTGTTTGAAAGGAGATTTGAAGTGGGACAGGGCATAGGAAATTGAATGAGATCCACTAATCATTCCAAATTGGAAGCTATTCTGATTGCCATGTATGTTGGCCAAATAGTAATACTCATGTCATTTCACATGACTTGATTTTGGCACTGATAGTTAGGTTGTCATTTCACATTTAAAATATCCAGATTTTAACCCTAAGGACATTTGACAGAGAAAGGTACTTTTTAGTAAAGGACTACTGAGAAGTGTTTGGCAGGGCCTGGAGACTAGGTTCCAGCTGTGACTACCAGAGGAATCCTTCACGTATCAGCCTCTCTGAGGCCTGATTCATTCATTAGTACAAAAGGGAAAATTGTACCATTTTGCCCTTCTCATGGGGCTGTAAGGAAACTAGTATGATAAATAACTAGAAGCTTCTGGTGAGAATAAGACTTAAGAAAGTACATGTGGATGGGGTGGGGTGGCTTTTAAAATAGTTCTTAACATCTCTCCCATCCCCGGGGCTATGAATCCTGTGAGATAGTGCGTCCTTAAGATGCTGTCTTACACAGCAAGAGATTCAAGCATTAAATTTGAGATAATCAAGAGGATGATTGTCAGGGCAGCATGATCTAATCACATAAGCCTGTCAAAAGCCTAGTAGTAGTAGACAGCACACAGAAGTTGACAGCATCGGAACAGGAAGGAGTCATGTTACCAGGAAGGAGACAGGTGAGCAGGAACACTGACATGTGAACAGGAAGAAGTCATGTGACCAGGAACAAGGGCTGCTAAGCTAAGCATAACTCTACTAACAGAGAGCAAGGAAATGGTAATCTCAGTCCCACGGCTGCAAAGAGTTGAGTGAGGACAACCATCCTAAATGAGCTTGGACACTTATTCTTGTCTGGAACTTTTTCGAAAAGAATCTGACAAGACTGGCTAGATTTCTGTCTACTAACATATGACCAGAAATTAGAGTCAGACTCATTCCAACTTCTGAACTGCAGAGCTCGTGTGGTTTAAAGCTGAAAAGTTTGCATCCATTTGCTAAACAGCAATAGGAAACTAATATAAAACATAATTGTTAGTTTAATAATTTAGGAGTAGAATAATTTCAAATTATGGGAACTTGAATCTGAACACACTGTCCAATGTTTCACTCATTAATTTTAGTGGATGAGACTCTACCACTGTTAATGGCAGGTTGATCATTGTGATTGATTTTGATGATGGGTAAAGATCTGTTATTCAGTATTGTGTATCTGTAAGGTAGAGAATGATAATGAGAAAGATACTGCTATATTAAATATCAGTGTGGCTTCAACTTAATTTCTGTTGCTCTCAGCTCATTTTTGCCTACATTTGTTTCAAATGTTTGTTACAAAGAGGCTGGTCTTAGAGCAAGGTTATAAAAAAAATAACAAGTTGACTTTCAAAATAACCTTGAAAAGTTACCATCTTCTCAGTTTACATTACTCATCATCATCAACTGGTTGAAACAAACTGAAGATCAAAGAATCAGTGATCATGACTGTATTCATACAGTGGAAGATTTTGGGGTTCCTGACACTATTTTTAGGTCAAGAAATGTCAAGATCAATTGAACTAAAAGACCAATTGAACTACACAACCTGAGGGATGGGCTGGGGAATGAGGGAGGGGAATCACGGAAAGGGTGACATGAATCAAGATACATTGTACTCATGACTTCATTTGTGGAATTGAAATGCTTTGTACAACTACATAATTAAAAATGATAATAATACTAAAAGAAAAGTCCAGGTCAAACATTTTAAATGTACATGGATGAAGTGGGCAGTTACTGAATTTACAACATGGGTAAAAACCATCAAACTTCATGGCTATCCTTCTCAAGCATGGGACATGGTACCTTTTCAATTCTGCTTTCCTGAGATTTCTTAAAGTAGATGGTGGGGATTCCCAGTTCGGAGGCAGCTATCCACTGCAGAGTGGCACGAAGCTCAGCGTCAGGACACTCGGGCTCCAGGTCAAAGTTGATCACCAGCAGGCTCCTCTGGTGGCTGGCTGTCCTCCCTGGCAGTCCCAAGGCGTGTTCTGGGCAGACACAACCACAGCCTTACTCTGCTTTCCAAAGGGGACCTCAAGCAATGGGGGGTTAAGATTATATGGGAAGGTGGCTTACCCTTTATGCTGTCTGACTGGCCTTTAGGAATCTCCTTTTCTTCTACTAATTCGCTTTGGGAGAAAACAACAGAATATGGTTGGGAATGGTTAGGAAGAATAAACTGCAAACAGAAGGTGAGATGATGGGCCTAAAATCTTCTGGAATTCATTCTAGATTCAGTTCTCATGGAGCAAAGTACGGCTAATAAAGAATAATGTGGATGTTACATATGGCTACTGGGTCTTCAATAAATAAATATTCCTGTTCACCAAAGGGAAGTTCCAGATAACCTCAATTTATATGAGGATTGGTATGGGAAACTCAGATGCATCTTTCTCTTCTTTTCTACCTTCCTTCCAGAAACTTTACAAGGTTGTACCTTTCAGACAAGATTTCGGATAACTAGATCTGACTTGGGGATAATGAGATAACTTGGGTAATGAGATCCTTCTCATGTACCTTACTTGCCTTTTAATGAATCATATGTTTCCATATTGTCATAATGGAATTTTTTTCTGCTTTGTGAGAGTAATATATTTTCTTTTCCAAATAGAAAAATATCAGCCTTTAGACTGAGATAAGTTAAGATATTAAATTTTACAGCAAAATATTTCAATGAACTGACATTTTTCCTTTCTTTTCTTATGGAGAAGAATGGTAGGCCAGTAGTGTTTTAAAATGAGGTTGTGACTATCTCATTAGCAAGGGTAGTGTTTGACACTGGAGGTATTTTCAAAGAGTCTTTGCTTATCATAGGGCCTGATACCTAGTGAGAAGACTCGGTGATGCTTTAAAAATGAGGGGCTATGTTACAAAAGATGACAGGAAGCTGGGTGCCAGTGGCTCACACCTGTAATCCTAGCTACTCAGGGGGCTGAGATCTGAGGATTGCAGTTCAAAGCCAGCCTGGGCAGGAAAGTCCTGGAGACTCTTATCTCCAATAAACCACCAGAAAACCAAAAGTGGTGCTGTGGCTCAAGTGGTAGAGTGCTCACCTTGAGCTAAAGAGCTGAGGGACAGCGCCCTGGTCCAGAGTTCAAGCCCCACAATGGACAAAAATAAAAAAGATGACAGGAAGTGATCATGTGGGTGAGCCCATGAAATTCCTATATATTTTTAACTTCTAGAAACTTAGGATTAGGCTTGTAAAATGTGTCTTTTGATGGCTTGAGAGAATTACCATATATTCTCTGTTACTACCACTATGTGACTGATAAATTCTACTCAATCAATGGATTCCACTGATGATGATGAATTTAACTGATATTGAGAGAAAGAATACAGCCATTCTATCTATTGTTCATTCTGTTACTGTACTTGCAGAAACACTCATTTCTTAAGGATCTAGATTTCTGCTTGATCTCTATGCATCTGGTATAAGGACATGACATTTAATAGATTTACTTCCTGTTATTCTAGAACTCTGCAGTGCTGGGTGTGGGAGATGCTGATCTTGGCTTTGTCCTAAGGGAAGATGGAAAAAGTAGCTATTCAGGGAAGCAACTAAGCATGGTTAGTTAGAATCTCTGATCATTGAAGAATTCATTGAATTAAATGGCTAAATAAAACTGCTTTCATAGAAATATTTCAAAAGGAAGTTGCAATCTTATTCTTGTTGGTCTGTTTTCTTTTTCCCAAAAATTTTAGAAATCTTCAAATAATAAGCTAAGTCCTTATGGTCAAAAATACTTTCAGCTGGGTGCCAGTGGCTCATGCCTGCAATCCTAGCTACTCAGAAGGCTGAGATCTGAGGATTGAGGTTCAAAGCCAGCCTGAGCAGGAAAGTCCGTGAGACTCTTATCTCCAATAGACCACCAGTAAACCGGAAGTGACACTGTGGCTCAAGTGGTAGAGCACTAGCCTTGAGCTGAAGAGCTGAGGGACAGCATCCAGGCCCAGAGTTCAAGACCCACCATGAAAAAATGTTTCAATTCACTTAGATTTCCAGAGTAATCACAAATCCCAGATGTAGTCTTGATTTTGTGTAACCCTTCCAATTTTCTATGGTATATTTTATGCAGTGCATATTATGGTGTTCTAAGTACGTTGTTTCCTATGGATATTTGAAGTCTCTATATTGTGGGGAGCAGAGTCACTGAGTGGGAATGAGATTGTTTAATCATAGCACTCATTTAGTTTTAGACACACTTAGTAGTGATAAACCCAAGTGTCCACAAGCAAAGGAAAAGCCACCCACATTTGATCTGATTGAAGCAACAGTGGTCTAGAGTGAAGACTGTTGAATGGTTCACCTTGGTTGACATAGTACAACTGAAATGGAATTTTGGCTTCTATATGTCCCAGTAGGTAAAAGGTCATAAGGCTTCTGATTATACTGATGAGCTTTAGCCAAAATAATTATTTCAGGAGAATGGATTCAAATCCAGGAAAGCCAGTGGTGTTAGGGAGGGCCCATTCTAGGTCTGAATCCTTGCTCCAGTGATATGGAACCACAGCTGCACAGACACAATGGATCAGTGGTTGGGCACAATCTGAGTGATTACAATGGGTTGCTGGATGGAGTTGAGTAGTGGTCTCACAATCACTGCATCTGATGGCTACTTACTTAATCATGGGAGAAGCTGGTATGCTTTCCTGATAAATGTCCAGGTCCATAATGCCAAGACTGCTAGTGGCACTACTGTTGCCATTGCTGACAAAGCAAAAGTTTACATATTAATGCCCGTCTCCACCCCTGGTATGCATGGTGGCATCATTATCAAGATCCTTCCTTTGTTCCTGGGGAGTACACTGCATCACGTCTAGGATTCCTGCATTGGTACTGGACCAAATTAGGAGAAAACACAGGGCAAAAGCCTAATAGGCTCAAGCTAATACTAACAATAATAGTAATTATTAATCTCATGTCAATAATAATAATTGTTATAATTTCAGAAGTACCACAACTTCTGAAATGAGGTTGTAGCATGTGGGATCCTACCAAGTGAGTAATGATGAACATTTCTCTTCTATTCCTCATTCTACTTAGCGAGGAGCTATTCATTCTTTATTGAGAGATTTCCTTCAACTGGATAGGACAATCAAGAGGAATGTGCCACAGAAAGGTTGACTCGGGAAGATTCCAGAATGCTCATCTGCCTGCTTTTTGGACTTGGATGGAAACTAGGGGTCCTTTTGTCTTTCTAGAGATTTTTCAAGGACCTTACAAAGGATTTCATAGGATATAACCTTGACTTGCTGTTTTCTTATAGGACAACAGGATTTACAAGTAAAAATAGGTAGTATCAAAGTTTAATGGCTCCTTTATTTAACAGCCTTTGAGAAGAAGTGACATCCGATGCCTTATGTATCATAGAGAAAGAGAATTGCATATTGCATCATTTTTGTAGGTTGTGCAACTGATCATATGGTCTGGTTGTAAGCCTGGAACTTTAGTCACTGTAACATACTAAAGTTGAGCCAATTTTTAGGCTCTGCCTGTACTTGTGAAACTGAATGTATCCAATTTGTTTGCCAAACTCACACCTCCTCTATACCCTACCATATCTCTTCCAAGCAAGGTTTTGAAAGTGTGACTCCTTAGTTTGTCATGTGATGGGACAAAGTTCTTCATAAATACCAGGAGTAACCAAATCCCTCTATTTTAAATTCTCATCTGAACTTTCAGGTGGGCAACCCAATCGAGTCACAGATGGAAACTTGATGACTCAGATTCCACTGGAAATGATTAAACAACAAACTTCCACGGTTCCAAAGATTTGAGTTCTCTTAGTTCTTTTGTCTCTTCCCTGTGATTTTTGAAATTTTAGGGAGATGATTTAACATGGTGAGGTCTTCGCAGGTCTAAAGAGTCTGAATTTGCCAGGAATAAAACTTTGAAAGAGCTCAACATATATCTCGAGAAACCCATTTTCCAAACAGCCTCTTTGGAAAGTCTTTGGGTTTGGTCAAGTTGAGTAAGAAACAAAGAAAGTTCTTTCTTACAGAGGAATAGTTTTTAGTTCATTCACGTTTCCCGATTTTTCTCAAGTCCTTCTGAGACTTATCTTTTCCTAAATTCCTCTCTAGTTTTCCCAGAAACAACACAGAGGGCAGGGGATATTAGGAGGAAAAACAGTCAAGCCAAACAACACAACACAGTGTGGAAACACTTGCCTCGTGTAAACCCAGCCTGTGTTGCATCTGAAATACAAATGAACCAGAAAGAAAGTTCAAACACACCATGTGCAGCAGCAATCTTCATTAAAACATCACAGTTCTTATCACTGAATGCACTAGTAGGGGCTTTCAGGGAGGGGGAGAGAGTTAACTCTTAACTCTGGCCAAGGTAATCAAAGTCACAGCTGGCTACTTAGTTTTAGCACAACTTTTGACCAAGGAGAGACCTTAGAAGTTTTCCTGTTTTGCTTTCTCTCTCTCTTTCTCTATTAGAAACATCAAACGCATTTTCAGAAGCTTTCTTGTGACCAATCGCTTAGGGAAGGAAAAGTAGGTACCTCAAGGATCTCTCGCTGAGCTGCAGAAAGCTACTTGTGTCATCTTGGTTCTCCTCCTCATTGGCTAGCTGAGACCAGCTGCCTGTACTCTCCTCACTGCTGCTGGGAGGGTTGGGGAACTCATCAGGGCCCTTGGCTTCTGTTGAGACTTCCTGTATGTCTTCAAGGTTGTCACTGTAGATAGATATCAAGAGAAGCAGCACAACACATTTGAGAGACTATCCTGGGTACTGTTGAGGCTGGGTCTCTGCTACAGTGTGCAGGATATGGTGGGGCACACGTGATGTCTCTCTGTAGATTGTTCTTCTCTTTGGTGCCCAGCTCCCATTCTTCCTTCCCAAGATTACTCTCCATCTCTTCAATTGATCTTTTCCCACTCACTTCCTCTAGTACCACCCCCTACCCTCAAAGTTGCGATACTTTGGCCCAAATACACAAGCAATGTTGTGGGATGGTATTTAATATAGAGATTACACAAAACATTCTGTCCAGTGATTAATGATTCATTGGATCTGGAGCGAGGCCCAGATTTGCATGATTCTTATGCAAGTGGTATGTGCACCATACTAGGGGAAACATACATACATTCTTGGGCTTTCCCAAGTCACTTTCCAACAAATTCTTCTAAATGTGTTTGCACTTCCTGTCATCTGCCATGTGTCATTCCCCCCAAAACTATGTCAGTGCCATTTGTGTGACTTTATGCCTTGTTTGGTCAAGTAGTTCTCCAGAACATTTAGCCCTTAATCTGACAGGCTTTTGTCTTTGAGACTTCTCCTTCGGGGCCTTCTGTGACTTTCGCCTCACTAGCAGTACTTGCCTGCCATCTCTTTTGAGTATCATTATGGATACTTCTTTTTTTTGTGTGTGTGTTTAACTGGTCCTGGGGCTTTAACTCAGGGCTCAGTCTCTGAGCTGTTTTGCTCAAGGCAAGTGCTCTACCAGTTGAGCCACAGCTCTACTTCTGACTTTTTTGCTAGTTAGTTGGAAATAAGAGTCTTATGGTCTTTCTTGCCAGGGCTGGCTATGAACTGTGATCCTCAGATCTCAGCTTCCTGAGTAGCTGGAATTATAGGCTTGAACCACATGTGCCAGGCCAGTTCTGAAGGATGCACTGTTCACTTTTTTATCTATCCCCACAGTATCTCATTTACTCTTAGCTACATAAACAGTGTCTGAATCTAGATCTTTGTCAAGAACCTTCCTTTGGGTCCTGGAGTTCCTTTTTCAGCCAGTCTTCTGAACTTCTACAATCTACCCTGGTCACATTTTTGAATCAGTACATGCCGATTGAATTCTGGTTACCTTCTCGTGTTCTTCCTGTGTTTCTTAATCTCATTGACATGAGTATCTTTAAAATCAGGCTTTCAGTCTTTTGATTTCTCCTTGTCTCTTCAATTATTATGAATTTTTAGTTTTACTATGTATTCAAACATATCTATGTTTTAAAATTATCTTAATAAAATTATCATGATTAAAATGATCAGTTTCAGTCCTTCTAAATTATTAGGAATTTAGATTCAGAAAGAATCTCAGATTTTTCTATAGATGCGAGGTAAAAGGCTTTATTTAACAACCTTTGAGAAGAAGTGACATCCGATGCCTTATGTATCATAGAGAAAGAGAATTGCTAAGGCTGCAATGAGAGTTGGGATCAAACTTTAGACTTTGAGTTTTCATGTTTGAGGCATTACATAGTTGTTCCTTGCTTAAACAAGGGACATCTCTTCTTTCTAAACTTTCTTTACATTGCTGATTAATTAGTGTTCCAAAATATTTATTGTTGGTCAATCTTAGGTCCTTTACAACTTATTTACCCATAATTCTCCATCTCAGAGCTGTCTGTGAATATAACTGGAGATGCTCTCTTCTTCCACTTAAAGTAGCATATTGGCTGGCAGAGAGGTTATGATTTTTCTCAACCTTAGAATTAACTCTGTTGTCCTCTGTCTGAGATTAGTTAGTCATACTTTAAACATTTTTTAAAAAGTTATAGCATAGAGTTCCAAATATGTGCTCTGTGGGATGTGATTAAAAATTAAGTCTCCTTATTGATAGGTAAATTTTCATATTTAATGATATTTAAAATCAGATTTTTTTTTTTGCATTCAGCATTCCTTCAGAAATAGTCTGGATAGCCATGCTATTGAGGTGTGGCTGGCTTTAGTGTGCTTTGCTACTTAAAACTAGATTTCCCTTCCTAAAATGTTGAGGAACAATGGGTGCAGAGAAGATGGTGTCTATTTAAATTCAAATGAAATTGTCCTTCACTAATGCCAGATGGGAACAACACATTGCATATAAAGTGTTAATGAACCAAGTACAAGGGTAAAGGAGAAGGCTTTGACACAAACTTGTTTGCCTACTTAAGAATAATTGCCTGGGTCAATTCCTTAGCAGCTTAGGGCCTCCTATTATCAGCAAAATTCATTTTTGAGCAGTTCTTGCTACAAAAGGAGTTAAATCCCAGTGACTGACATATAACAAGGTCCAGGATAAAAAATAAGTCTGCTAGTAAACTTTATTTTACTTCAATGTCATGCTCTACTTACAGTAAAACTCATGACCCATGGTACATCACTAGAAATTCCAAAATACTAGTTTTCATTTTCTTTTGAGAGAAATGTTTAGCTATGCCCATATATTTTGGAATAATGCTCAGATGTGTTCTGCAGATGCGTGCAGATGGCTCTGTTTCTGATCAGGGTTTCTATTCTGGGCTTTAAAGAGTCTCATGCCACTGAAATCCAATCACAAAACCTGAGCTGGCAGGAATCTAGAAGATTACTAAGCCCTAATTCCATATCTGACCAAACTCTTTTCCTCACTCATACACGCCTGTGCTTCACCTGTACCAGAATAGCACCGAGATTTCCTTACGTCGATTTACTTTATACAGCCCAAGTATGTTTATTTTAAGAAGTAATTTTAAATCATTACTCTGTGGGAGACAGAATTCACTTGGCAGTGGTAGGTAACAATAAAAATAAATATACAGCTAAAGTCAAAGTCCACTTTTTAATGTCACACGATATTTAGTTTCTTTCTCAGTTCTTTGAACTGAGAAGGAACATAAATGGAATTTCATTTTGCTTCAATTTGTAATGCATAAATAGTACATATTCATCCATCTTGTATGAAAATACTTGGTTTCTATATTCTGTCTTTTATAATTATAATTATTGACCTCTGCTCTCACTGTTATTATTTCCTTCTTTGTATTACTTTGGGTTTAGTTTGCTTATATTGGGGGAGCTGCTGTAGGTAGAGCATCTTCTTTTCACAGAAACATTTAAATATTTAAAAATATGTATGCATTTCCTTCTGCAAAATTTTAGCTCACAAATGTTGTCATTTTCATTCAATATTTGTTTTAATTTCCATGTGACGATCTTTGACCAGTTGTAGATAATTTAAAGGTAATTTCTAAATTATAATTTAGAAAGATAATTTAGAAATTAAATTTAAATTATCTAAAGATAATTTCTAAATGATTTGGAGGATTTTCCAGACCTCATTTTATTATTTCACTTTCAGTATTTAATTTCATTCTGCCCAAAGAACATATTCTATAGGATTACAATTATTTTAGATTCATTTATATTTGTTTGTACCCATAAGGGGCATCTTGGAAAATGTTTCAAGTGCACTTGAAAAATAAATATTTTGCTGTTGTGGATGAAGTGTTAGATCAGGGTCATTGTGAAAGTTGCTCATGTCTTGCATACCTATATTCACTTTGTATGATTCTGTCAGTTACTGAGAGAAGCTTAAATTTCCAATCATAATTTTGTGTTTGTATGTTTTCCTTTCTAGATTTATTTTTATATACTTTGGGTCTATATTAATCACATGGCTACACATTTAAAATTGCTATGTTTTCTTGATGAGTTGACCCATTTAACAACAAAGTTTTTAAAATAAATATCCTTATTTATCTTGATAGCATTTTTTGTCCTGAAGACTATTTAGACTGACATTAACACAGCTGTTTTTCAGAGTTCTTTTCCATGCTTTTACTTTTGATCTACTTGTATTTTTATATTTGAAATACATTTCTTATAAGCTGTTATACCAAGATTTTGCATTTATCTCCAATCTAACAAGTTCTGCCTTTAAACTGAAGTTTATAAGGTTTTACTTAAATATGCTATCTTGATAGTCATTTTATATTTGTTCCATCTGTTCTTGGTTCCTTTTTCTATTTCTGCACTTCTCCTAAATAACTGAGCAATTTTTAGCATTCCATGTCCAATGTTTACTTACCCTCACAACTTTTTATCTTTTTAAAGTTTAATCAGGATTAGGAAATTCATCTTTAACTTAAAAAGTCTACTATCTTTTAACTTAAAAAATCCTACCTACTTTTGCAGATTCCAATATAATGGAAAACATTTATAAAAATATTCTTTTTGTGCATATATATATATATATATATACATATATATATATATATATATATATATATATATATATGTTCTCCCATGTGTCATAAAACAACTTTTTTTTTCTATTTTAAACAGGCAGTGTCTTTTAAAGGACTGGTGTGTTGTTTGTAGTTAGAGTGCTTGCTTAGCCTGTGCAATGTTAGGAGGCTGGAAATGTAAAAGATATGATCCCCAGCACTGAAAAAACAAATGAACAAATGAAGTGGGTGTTTTATATTAGCTTCTACTACTTGCAACTTGTGGCATTTCTTTCCTCCATAGATTAAAGTTTCCATCAGTATTCTTTTCTTTTAATGAGTGGTCTTGTATGAACACTAATTTTTGTTTTATCTTTATAGATTATATATCAGGGTTTTTCTGAGCATTATCTTGTTTTCAAAATTTTCAAAGCCTTCATTTGAAAAAAAATAGCAAGCTTTAGATTTAGACTTATGGCAAAGTTGAGTGGAAAACATATACAGTTACTATATATCCATCTTTCTCCCAAACATACACTTCATCCCTTTAGCTTAACATCTTGCAATAGATTGATACATTGCTACTTTCAATGAAGCTACTTTGACACATCCTTACCATACAGTGCCCACAGAACAGGTTGTATTCAGCCTCGGAGCTCTACATGTGTTTTGACAAATGCACATTAATTTAGTCTCTTTTGTGTTCTTATATTAGAGTACTAAGGGCTTTGGACCTAAAACCTCTGGATAGAGCTCCCCAGTGCTGTTA